CAGTCGAGAGGAACAAGCACTTTTGAGGAAAGATAATTTAAAATGCTGACTCCCAGAGGAATGTGCTGCTCAGTGTCTCTTTCTCTGCCCTGACTATGAAAAGAACCAGTTCAGGGGGAGGCAGATGCAGATGGCTAAAACCAGGTGGGAATGTCTCTCATCCCCACACTGGGAATGCTTTGCACCATATGCAAAAGCAGCATTTCAGGTAATTAATTTATGCTGACCCTCAGCATTTCCCAGCTCTCCAGTTGTTTGAGATAAAGGTTAGGTTGTGAATGGTTTACTCAAAAATTACTGAAATTATCTGCAGCTCATTTTACCTTTAATTTTACTTGCAGTATTTTGATTTACAACTTAATGCAGAGCCCTAATAGTACTTCTTTTACTCTGTTTTCCTTCAGGACAGTCTTGGAATTAGGAAGTGGGATTGGCTTCACTGGAATTGCCATCTGTAAGACCTGCCAACCCAAGACATACATATTTAGTGACTGCCACCACTGTGTTCTCAGACAGCTGGGAGAGAACATCCGTCTCAATGGCTTCGAAGTGACCTGGTGTACCCAAACAGAGCCCCGAGGGCAGGAGGTGGAAGCAAAGAACTGCCAAAACCCAAAACTGATGGTTGCAGAACTTGACTGGGGCTCAGTGACAGAGGAGCAGCTGGTGGGTCTCCAACCTGACGTTGTCATCGCAGCAGGTTCGTCACCCCCGCGCCGGGGGGGGACCCTGCAGGAGGGAGCAGGGTGGAGGGACAGGGGTGCAGAACTCAGAGTCCTGGCAGGCTCTCGAGGGATGACATCCTGAAAAAAACCCAAAAAAACAACTACAGCCCTTTTTTGGACTTGCCCATATATAAATCTGGAGGGAGTTTATTGAAAATCTAATCTTGGAAAATGGAGCGATAGTAAAATGTCTCAGCTGTAGCTACAGGGTTTTACTCCCCAGTTTGGAGCTTTGCAAAGCAAAAATTACCTGAGAATCCAGGTGAGCAAATGACTTTGTCATCCAAGGTATCACAAGGTGTGAATGTGAATTCTGTAAGATGAAGCCACTGCGTGTTACCCAATGCCAACAACACAGTGCCCAAACCAGCCCAAGCTGGACTCTGAAGACAAGAACTAAAGGAGATTTAGATCTGTTCACTCTTTGCTGTTACTCATTACTGCAGGATGTGCCCTGATTATGTTGGAGGACAAGTAAGTGCTGTGTCTGTCAGTGGTACCAACACCTCAACACTTCCACACAGCAACCAGCCACCTCTGAGGATCAGCACTTCGTACCCCTTGCTGCTCACTCTCACCTCCCATCACTATTTCTGCTCTCCAGGAAATGCCTCAGGATTCAAATTGCTGCAGGTCCTCTGCCCTCAGCCTCTAAAACACCCATTTTTAATAAGGCAGGTTTGTTTTGCCAAGGGCAGTGGTAACAGCACCAGCACTCAGTGTTCCTGCTGTCTCCCTTAGGATGGGCCTAAATAAAATATCTGACAATCCATTTACAAAAAGGAGCACGGATTTTTAGTGATTTTGGAGTGATAGTAGAGATGAGGGCATAGCACATAAAACAGAGGCATTTCTGAAGATCTCTCCTTGGGAATTTTTAACCCATGAATAAAAAAAACCATATTCTCCTGCACTGTGAATATTTTATATTTTTGTTTTGCAGTTCTCATTCTGCTTTTTGCTCAGTCCTCAATAAATATTGTATGTTTCTCTGTTGTTTTTTTTTCAGATGTGGTGTATGATCCAGAGATAATTGTAGCCCTCATTGGGATGCTACAGAAACTCTCCACCTCGAGAGCAGACAGAAAAGCTCCCGAGGTCTTCATTGCCTTCACAATCCGTAACCCAGACACGTATCACCTGTTCCAGGCTGAACTGGGTAGGGGCCTCTTTCATCAAGTGTTCAATAGTTTTGTCTCTTTCCCCATCATTTATTCTGTGGTAGAGATGAACAGGAGCATTTTTTGGTGAGGAGCATTGTCCAACAGTGAGGTTGTTATCCTAGAGCTGGATTTAAGAGCAGTAGCTTTTCCTCATGGATTTGATCAGGAGATTGGAACTTACCCTTAGGTACATCCTGGCTATCACAGCTCACATCTGTAAGGGATGAATTGCAAGTGTGGTGGGCTCGAAAGGGAGGAAACTAAACAGGGTTAAGCTTAAAGGAGGGAAACCATCTGTGCTGCTCTGTCACAGTGATAAATAACAGAGATGCAGCCTAAACCCTTCATCTTATCTTACCAGTTCTTTGAGGGTTAAAAACCAACTAGAGATTAAATAAAATAGGATTTTTCTTCATGTACTCTTCTAAAGCCTATCCTTTGCAGTCTGTCAGCTGCTCAGCAACTGGTTAATTCACAAAATGATGCTGAGAGAGGCATTACTGGTATCTTTTAAAAACACTCAAAGCATTTGCCTGTAGCTTTCTTTCACAGCATGGTAAAGATCTCTTCCTACAGAACTTGTCATGCAACTTGTGCTCTTCATTTTATTAAGCCTAAATATGATTCCCAGTGTTTCTCTTCACAGATAAAGTCGGGATCAGGTGGCAGATTATTCCAGCCCACGGCAACAGTAATTTTCTCTATGATGTGCAGCCAAATGTAACTATTCTCCAGCTATTTATATAGGCTTGGCAAATAGAATTAGAATTTTGAGACCAACAGGAGCTATGTCATCCTTGGAACAAGATTATCCTGAGTTCTGGAAGCACACACCAGAGGTGCTGGTCTGGACACACGGGCTGTTGTCAATGGGAGTTGTTTCTTCCTGTAATTTCCAGCATGTCTGCAAACAAGCTGCTGCCCCTGAAAAGTGAGTGAGCTTCAAACAATACAAAAACAATTAAGCCCTAATCATACTGCACTTTAATTCTGTAGAAGACAACAGAATTCAAGTGTATTTTTTAAACTGTGTTTTGATTTGTTAACGCTGGAGGGAAACCTGGAGGATCACGGGATGAGGATCTCCCACGGACAAGGGAGCAAGACAATGGTTCAGAGTAAAAAATACTTTTAAATATTAAAACCAGCTGTAATTGTCTACTCTGGTTTTTTATACTTGTTTGTATATACTGGCAGTCTGGTCAGTCTTATAAATGAACCAATAAACGAGCAGTGACTATTCCTGCAGAGCTGTGGGATGTCCCAGGCTCACACGCTGCTGTAAGAGCAGGGGACAGGCTCTGCTGGAAATCAGGGGCACCTTTACCCTGCAGTGATGACAAAAATCACAACTGAGGTACATTCCTCTCACTTAAGAGCTGCCACTTTCACTGCTGGCTGCTGGGACCTTCCTCTCAGGCTGGCCAGGAAATAAAAAAGGAATCACACCCCACAGCAATGCTCCAGGGATCCTGCAAGGAGGAAACACTGAGCTCACCTCAGTGTCTAGAAACTTTCCAGTGTCCATTCATCATTCTCCTCTTGGTCCTGAAGCAGAAGATCAAATGCTGCTTATTCTCCTCTTTAGACTTCCTTTATCTTGTTTTAAAAGCTACTTACAGGAAAATGTACAAATACTTCAGCCTCCTTCCGTAGCAATGGAGAGGAAATGGGTGGTAGGTAACTTGAAACCTGAAGAATCATCTTATTCTTCAAGCTGAAAGAGGCCACAACTGCTGGGATTAAGCAGAAGTTACCCCAGCCCAGGTTTTAGCTCCCTGTCCCCAAAAAGGAAGAACTCAAAGGTATTATTTCTAGAGGAAATGCAAACTGGCAGCCCAGAGAGGAGCTCCCTTACACAAAATTCAAGTCACTCAAAGGTTCTATACAGATGGCTCATTTTACATCTAAAATTTTTATTATAGGAAGATGAAACCTCTCTGAAGCTTTTGGCATTACTGTTTAATTAGAGAAGTGCCTAATTTATCTCCACGTGCACAGGATTGGCTAAAGGGGAACGGCAAAACCCCCAGACAGGATTTTGACTGAAAACAGTAAGAAAGATACACTAAAATATTGGCAAATAAATCTTTATGAACCATTCTTCAGTCAAGAAGCTGGAGGTTTTGCCAAACTCCTGCAGTAAAGCAACTTGACTCTTTTATTTTCACTTTCTTCCTTCTGAAATAAGCAGATTTTCGATGATTACTCAGTCAGAGGGTTTAAAAATGCTGGTGCAGAACCCACTGTCACCACCTCCCACCCCTGAACTGGGAGCTTTGAGGAGCAGTAACCACATGATAAAACCAAACACTTCTGTTCCTTAAATGACTGACATCTGTTTTATAACCAAAAAGGTGATGAAAAAAACTTGGAAGCATCAGTCTGCATATACTGATCTTAACAATGAAAAGCTGAAGGGTGCACCTGAGTGAGCCCTCACACAGTGAAGTGCCTTTGATTACATTACACGTATATTTGGGGTTTATTTTTCCCTGTTCTATTCATCTGTTCAAAAAGAGATAAATTTGATGTTCTTTCTCAAGGTGAATGGGCACATTCACTTCAGACTACAACAGGAGCACTCACTGCAAGGTCTGTTTTCCTCTAAGTACCCAGTAAAGCTGTCACAGCCCAGCAGCTGCACTTCCACATTCCTGCACACACTGTGAAAAGGAAAACAACTTTGAAACAAAACGGTTCTGTCTCAATAAAATCATACAAGAGGATATTCAGTGTGTGTCTAGGGAAGACTAGGCAATATTAACTGGTTGAGTAAACAAAACCCTCATGTATCCTTGGAAAAGACCAAGATCATCAAGTCCAACCTCTGACCAGTTGAAATAAAACAATTCAAATAAAAGGCATTTCCCACTTGCAAAAAAGCCATACCCAAATCACCTACTAAGGTGCTGAGTGTACAGCAGGTAAAAGTGGTAATTGTTTCTATCTGATTTCAAGTATCTTCACCAAAAAAGTGACCTTTGAGCAGCACAGGTGGACACGCAGCAAACAGCTCCAGCTGCACCTTCAGCTCTGCTCTTACACAGGAAGCTCAAACTGGAAAGGAAGAGGAGTGTGCAAACAGGTTGAAGTAGTTAAAAACTGCAACTGTAGACAATACAAAGTGTTTATTTGCTGTTTATCAAATCTCTGCAGTCCAGGAATGGATCAGCTTTGCCACCCTCCTTCCCCACAGTCATTCCCTGTGCCCCAGCAAGGGCAGCACAGTCTGGTCCCAGCTCTCGTCCCAGCACAGCTCCTTGGACGCCCTGAGGTTCTGTCTGAAGCTGTGCAGTTTGCCTTCCAGGGTCGGAAATTCCAAGAAAAGCATCTGTAATAAAAAGGGCAAACCCACAAAAACACCATCATGTTCCATCTCAGGCTCATTGCAGCCTCCCCAGCATTAACCCTCAACTACAAAGCTGCAGTGAGACTGGTCTTGGGTCTGGCCCCAGAAACAGAACAACGACAACATTTTCAATGCTTTTGCCAGCTCCAGATTCACATTTAAACACAAGAGAGGCAAATAATGTTCATCAGGGCAAGCAGTGCCTTCTGAGAAAGCAAAATGCACAGACAGTCAGCTGTGAAAGGGCTGCCCTCGTGGTGGCACCTTTGGGGTCATTCCTGGGGGGCAGAAATGAGTCAAAGCCTTTACCTTCAGTTGTTCTGCGAGTTCACTCGAGTCCCTGAATATCAGACCATTTTCATTGTGTTTCACAAGTTCATGTAAACTGTGAAAAGAAGTCACAGAAGGAAATAATGAGACAAAAAGCAGCAAGTGGGACATTTAAAATGTTGTACAGTGACAGCCAGAGGGGCCACCCCAGGATATCTGTAACATTATCACTGATGAGCCCCACACCTGACATAACGGGATGGAGAAGGCAGTTTAAAATCTTCTAATTTAAAGACTGTTTCTCCTTTCTGTGTCAGACTAAATCTACCCCAACTGTACCAAAGGGCCCTCACTCTGTGCCACTCAACTGGACATACATGAAAAATCAGGGCAATAATCTACTTTAAAACTAACCCATAAGGAAAATTTTTCCATGATCCATCATAAAATCTTCACAGAGAAGTTACCTTCCTTTATAAAGCTACTGTTTTCCCAAAGGACCATGAATTCCAAGACTGCCTATGCATACACTCCCCCCTTCACTGAACAGAAGGAAGCTTTTTTAAAATTAAATATTTGGAAACGAAGGATAACAAGGATTTTTTAAGGCAAGTGATTGCATGACATGCCCTGACCTTTGCAGAAACTAGTGTCATTCTTAAAAATTTATAACAACCTTGATTTCTAACTTATTGAATTTAAAAAAATGGCATAATACAGCAATCTCATTGACTCCTGCAGTAGCTGCTGAACTCGTGCTTTGTAAGAGTATTTTTTATGTGAATCACTGGATCTGTAACAGAACAAGGTCTTACCATTCAAAATATATTGCACACACAGGTAAACAGCAGCCAAACATATCCACCACCTTCATGGGCAAATCCAAACCACTGGAGGATTTATGGAGACACACCCCCAGGTCTGCTGAGCCTGAAAAGCAAACGAAACAGTCTGAATTCTCTGAGAGCAGCTCTTTGTCCTGCTGCAAACCTTTATTTCTGTGCAGCTTTGGGTGGTGCAGGGTAAGCCTGAGCCCCCTCCAACCACCCAGACTGACTCCATTTCAAGCACTCAGGGGAAAAAAACCCCACAATATATTTTGTGACTAAAATTAGTCAGGTTTTAGAAACGTAATAAGTGAGTGCATATTAAATTAAAGGGGATTTTAAAGTTTCATGCATCTTAAAACAGCCTTTCTACCTCTTGATCTGCTAAGAATGGACAAGTGAAGGAAAACCCCAGCACAAACCAGACAGGATATGCTGCTTGGCTCACTGGTGACCTCTCCCAGTTCAGGTCATCTCAAAATAGAGAAATCACAGTGTGATTTTATAGGCATTATGTTCATTATTTGAAAAGGACCAAATAAACACAGTGTTTTAAAGCCATATAAATTGTCAGGCTCTAATCCTGCAGAATGGAGATCAAGTTAAACATGTGTTTTACTACTTTATTACTCCCACTTTATGCTGTTACAATGAACATGCTGAGGGAACAACGTTCCAATGACAAGTTAATTAAAAATTTCAGCTACTTTTGGTTGCTTAGCGAAAAGCTTTTTGATTTCATTTACAGGAGTGACCCTGAAAATAAGCTGGAACGTGCACAGGCAGCTGTATTTCAGCACAGAAGAAACAAAGAGTGCAAAGAACAGGCTAAAACAGCAACAGGTACTAAGCCAACTTTTTGGGATAACAGCAAATAGCCAGAGAAATTCACCATTTTTGCTGGAATGAGTCAAAGCCACGAGTCTCCTGTCACCAACCAGCAACACTCATTGCTATATTCTCCCAGGTTCTGTGCACAATCTGTATCAGTTCTCTGCCCCTGTGCCAAGTTGTTTTTCACACATTCTCAAGCCTGTTTCATCACCCAGTATTTACCAAGCAAAAGAGGGTAATCCTCAGCTTCCAGCCACGGTGTACAGATCTGGATATGTTTAAAGTGCAGTTTCTGTATCAGTCCATTGTAGTAGTCTTTTAGAGGTCCTTTACCTGTTTAAAACAGAAAAGAAAAATATATAGTAGTTTTTCATCCAGATGACTGAAAATAGTGTGGTCTGTGAATTTTACTGTACAGCTGATGAGCTGCTGTTGTATCAGGTACGTCCAAAAGGAGACCACACATAAAAATCCACATAAAAATCCAAGTCCCTTTCAAAGTGATGTGTACCTAGAGTTTAAACTGTTTTGAACATGGAGCAGTGCAGAACTGTAGTATGGACAGTGAGTAGAGAGGGAGGCCAAGAGCTTCTCCTCTAAAAATGTGCCATGATTACATAGTGTGAGTTCAACTATAAATTACCGTTCTTATAACCAGACATAAAGACAACAGTCTCTTCTCACCATCAGAAGAGTCAGCACAGAACAAAAGTGAAAATGAATGTTCTGTATCAGCACTGAAAGAATTGTCACACAAACAGACCCTTACCTGTTATCACACACACCAGAGCTGGAAGCTTGGCTCCCTCATCAATAAACCTCTCATAGTCTGGAGAAGATAAAACACTGGTTGGAGGCCACAAATACACAGATGGTTGGTTTAACAGTGGTCACAGTGTATTAATTATTTAGCTTCCTACTGCAAGTAATTGCTTTACAGGCATGTACTTAGTAAAACAGTAGTAAATTCAGCAATGTTAAAATTTACAAACTTGTACAGAAATAAATCATGCTCTGTTTATGCAGCAAGCATTTGTTCAACTGCCCCACAATCAGCTGCTTCAATAAATCAATTTACAATTGCCAGCTGCAAAGCCTACAAAATAAGACAAAGTATTCCCTTCCTTCCTATTAGCAGATGCCTATGGAGAGTATCTGTAATAGCTTAAGAAATAAAACTGCAATTTAGAAGCTAGTTAGAGATTTAATTCTCCCTGACAACTCCTCTAATTGAACCCAGATGTTGCACTTCTGTATTTCAATTACTACTCTTAAACCAGTGCTACTCAATCAAATACAGCTGCATTTTCACCTGAATAGGGTTTAGCAAAACCCTTTTTAAGTGTCCAGAAAACAACCCTTGGAAAAATGAGATTAATTCCTTCATACCCACCTTCTAAAGCTTTTAAAAGGACAGAGAAGTCTTCATCCTCTGAAAGAGAAGGTTTTATTAGTGACATCCATATTTGAATCATTTATGATGAATTACTGTCTTTAAATAACAACCATCAGACTCTCCTCACCTCACCAACATGATTTAGTACAGACCATGCTTTTCCTATTAAAATCTGCTAATTTGCTTTCATAAATCGAAGTCTATAACCACAGATTGTTTATTTGCTTCCCTTGCTGGCAATATGGCAGACAAACCACTCACAAATGCTGCACATCTTCAATGCCATCAAGTTAAAATTTTCTAGTTTCTAAAACTAAAGAATTGAGTGTAAAAACTGCCCTGACAATTCAAAGATAAAGACAATTCTTCCAATTCTGCCCCTGGTTACTAGCAATGGATTTTTTTTGCCCCTGTATGAAGAAGGGAACAGAAAATGGAAACAAGTGACATAATTATGTAACACACATTATCAGGAATCATGGAATCACAGACTGGTTTGGGTTGGAAGGGACCTTAAACATCATCTTGTCCCAAGCCCTACCATGGGCAGGGACACCCTCCATTAGACCAGGGTGCTCAATAATGAGTAAATATTTTAATTTCTTAAACTATTTTACGCCACCATGCAAGATAGCATGTCTAGAATGAAGGCAAAAAAAGAAGTAGGAAATCTCTTCTAACCATCCTTAAAGCTGAGCCTCTAGACTGTAGCTCTATAATTAAAATATAACTTTAAAAAATCATTCATTTTTAGCATTCTATATGCTATACCACATTTAGCTGTATATGAACCAACACCTAGTTGTATCATATACACCTTGTCTTCCATTTTTTCCCGGCAAATGAAGGAAAAACATAACTTCAGCTGTGAGGAAGTCCAAACAGCCTTAGTTTTAGATGACAAATGCAGTGTTTCCCCACCTGTCCAGCTGGTGCTGCTGATGAGAAGAGCTGGCCGGCCCCTGGACTCCACCACACGTCCATCCCTGGCAGCCCTCTCTGTGAAGGCAGATCTCTCAGCACTGGGATCCACAGGCTCTGCACTATGGAGACACAACTTCCTGAGCACGGGCTACACACACAGCCAACAGCAGCAGCAAACACTACACAAGTGGCAGGAATTTCCAAACATTTTGTTTCAGATTTGCTGCTCAACTTCTCTAGAAACAGAGGCATCCCAGTACAGAGCTATGGAGAAATACAAGACAAGGAAAGGCCATTTTTCCTGCTTCCTACTGCTACAGACACGATTCCATCTTCCAGCAGAGTGTTTTCCTTGACAAGCTGAGCAAACAGCCAGCCTCCCTGTCCAGCTCTGTCTCACAGCGTGGAGCATGGAGGCCAACAGCACATTTATTCCATTCAACTCACACCCTACACATTCTGAGGTGGGGATTTCAAAAATACCCTCTGCACACCGTGGATTTCACTTCTTTTTCAAGCATTAGTTTGGCAAAGTAACTCCCTGGTTAATCTGCTGCAGGTGACACCCTGCACACAGGCAGAGGGGAACATGCAACACTCAAACCAAGACCCTGAAGGCTCTCACAGTAAGGAAGAGGTGCTATTAAGGAAGCATCCAACCATTGTCATTTAGGTCCACGTGAACCAGACAACTGCTGAGTTCCACCCTAGAGATATACTCTGTCACAGATTGCAGGAGGACTCCTACACTCTTCCCTTGCTCCAGCTTGGGGTCCTTCCCAAGGGAGACAGTCCCCCACAATCTTCTCCAGCATGAGTCCTTCCCACAGACTGCAGTTCTTCACAAACTGCTCCAGCATGAGTCCCTTTCCATGGGGTGCAGCCCTGCAGGAACAGACTGCTGCAGCATGAGTTCCCCATGGGATTACAGGTCCCGACAGCAAACCTGCTCCAGGAGGCTTGCAGCCCCATAGGGACTGTTTTCAGGATCAGATCCTTTCCCTCCTGTGCCAACTTATTTAAAAATAAAACACTTCTACTTCACACACCAAGTTCAGTGATTTCACTTGTGGCTTCCCCCCGGTGACCCTGAGCCAACCTGCACAACACCAGCTGCTCCAAGCACTGGGCCCACTGTGCCTCTGGGGCTCAGAGCCTGGGCCCCACACACTGCCTGTGGTCACCAAGTGCCCCCAAGTGCCCCAGCCCCCTGGCACAGCTGGAGGGACTGTCAGCACAGCCACACTCACACGTACCGTGCTCGGAAGGGCTCGTGCTCCTGGGCAAGCTTCACGTACAGACGGTGCCGCAGGTCTAACGGTGTTTCCTTGAAGTAAGAAGCTGGTCTGTCATACAGAGTTACTGCCCTGGGAAGAAGCACAGGAACAGCTTAAATAGGATACAGACGTAGCAACACGTACCTGGCTCAGTGACAGGCTGAACATGGAATGCAGAAAGTAATTAAGTAAATCAGTACTGCAAAGTAATTTGGTTTTTGGCTCTTACATCTGTCTGTATGCCTGAAGTTTGCTGGAATACACCAGGGTGGACACAATAATCCTGTAACAAAGAGCCCCTTTCATGGTGCCTATTCTAGGGGTGAAATGCACCTGTACAAACTGCAGACATCACTGTCTTGAATTTCAAACTTACTCTGTAACTGGCCCTGAGCAACCCTGATCTTAAAGCCCCCTGACTTAAAGCAAAAGAAAAGCTGTCAGGGCAGACTGATCATTAAAAACCCCAGTGATTACTCCCATTCTATTGGCAGCCTGGCAGCAAACCTCCCTGACACCTGGACTGCCACCTCCCAGTCAAATGGGTGTTAATTAAGAAGGGTAATGAAGACTCCTGAATGCCCACACTCCACTGGCTCATTACAAAACAGAGCTAATAAGTTTCAGTGGAGTTGCTTTTGTAGGATCCCCCTGAATCCTGAATCCTCACGGATCTGTTCTTTCATTTCACTTTGCGCACACAGAGTAATTTGTGACTTACTTTATGTTGCAATTCATCCAGAGATCTTCTTTCATTGCATCAGTGACACACAAGTTATAGTCAGACAAGCGCCCAAAAACCTTTTCATACCTGACAAAAATTAAAAGTCAGTTAGAAACCACAGGCAGGCAATTGCTTTAACTGCCCCCAGTGCCCATGACAAGTGAAAGCCAAACAAAACCAAAAGAAACCCAACTGCCCCCAAAACTGAAATTTAATTACCAATTACTCCCAGTTATTGATGGACTCCTGGTGCTGAAGCAATATCAGTTTATGAGAAGGGCTACAGCAGGACTCCAACACCTACACTAGAAAGCCTTTAAAGCCTTTAACTGCACACAACCAATTAGATTCAGCAAGAAGCAGCTTTTTAAGGGAGAGCTGGAGTATAAAGCAACATTAGAGAATAAAAAACCCCAGTACATATAGAGAAATTCTAATAACAAGATCAAAGTTTGCATATGCACATAAAAGCAACCCGCCTACTTCAAACACCCCCCTACGTGTCCAACAAAGGCAATTTCAAAACATGTTTTCTGAAATAGAAACCAGCTCAGCACAGCAAACCCCAGAAATCCCTCTCACAAACAGCCCTTTGCCAATTATATTCTCCCCACTGGTTTCCATTCTGAATCCCACCTAGGTATGTAATTTGAAGGAGGAGAAGTGACAGTACAAACCATTTTGCAATCTGCACCAGGGGGTGGTTCCTCCCATGACTCAGGCTCATTATGGTGTATCCATAGTTGTGCCAATCAATGATCAGTTTGCTCCTCCAGAACAGACCTGCCACCCAGGCAACAGCTATACTGGGTAAGCCTGGGGGATTCTGCTCAAAAATAAACCAGAAACAGCACAAGAGTGTGGTCAAGTGACAAACACAAAGCAAGTACCAGAAAAAAATCCAATTATTGAAATTACATCGTTTTAAAGGAGCTTGATGACCAGAGACTATTTGTATTCACCTACTAAGATTGGTAGGCACTTCAAATTTCACCGTGGATCAGGATCAAAATCCCCCTCCAATAAACACAGCAGCATTTCTAGTGAGATTTATTCTTTACTACTGCCCATGCCAATGAAGTTTAAAAGCCCAACAATTAACAGGAAGAGCAAACCTGAATTGCTAACAGAAAAATCAAGGTTTGGAGGCAAAAAAATACTTTGATATAGGTTTACACCATTGATGAAGCCAGTTCAGCTCTCAGATAACTAGAACAATGTCTGAGACACTAAAAGTGCTTTGTGAAGTAGCACTATTTTTTTTAATTAAAATTAGTCCCCCACAAAACATACCTGAAGAAGAATATAGGAGGGCTGATCTATCCTCAGCAGCGTATACAGTAACTGCACTGACTGCACAAGGACCTTTACGACATACTGGAAAAGCTTTGGACCCACTGCAAAATGAAAGGAAAACTGGTAAGAATATTACAGCTCTCCCCACAGAAATGTGTGCATTAAACAGAGCCAGCCAGCTCTGCAGAGAGAGGGTTAAAGGTATCCTGTAAAAATGGAAACGTTTAATATCTTTATCCATGAACTGCATAAGTGATTGAGCACCCCCTCAGCAAGTTCAGAGATGGCACAAGGTTGAGTGAGAGTGTTGATCTGCTTGATGGTTGGAAGTCTCTGCTGAGGGATCCGGGCAGGATGGACCACGAGAGGAAAGACTTTGAGGGGCTGGAGCATGTCCAGGGAAGGGAACAGAGCTGGGAAGGGGCTGGAGCACCAGGAGCAGCTGAGGGAGCTGGGGGGGCTCAGCCTGGAGAAAAGGAGGCTCAGGGGGAACCTTCTGGCTCTGCAACTCCCTGACAGGAGGGGGGAGCCGGGAGGGGTCAGGCTCTGCTCCCAGGGAACAAGGGACAGGAGGAGAGAAAACAGCCTCAAGTTGTGCCAGGAGAGGCATTGGATATTGGGAAAATTCCTTCACGGAAAGGGCTGTCAGGCCCTGGCACAGCTGCCCAGGGCAGTGGTGGAGTCATTGGCCCTGGAAGGATTTAAAAGCCGTGTAGATGTGGCACCTGGGGACATGAGTTAGTGGTGGCTTTGGGAGTGCTGGGGGAACAGTTGGACTCGATGATCTCAGAGGGTTTTTCCAACCTAAAGGGTTTTTTTTGATTCCGTTCTACGATCATTACAAAGCTAAGCAAATATCTCATGGTCCCTCTAAATTCCCATTTGTATTTTGTATAGAAAGAACTCATAGAATCCCAGAATGTTTTGGTTAGAGGGACCTTAAAGCCCATCTTGTTCCACCCCCTACCATGGGCAGGGACACTTCCACTAGCCCAGGTTGCTCCAAGCTCCGTCCAACCTGGCCTTGGACACTTCCAGGGATGGGGCAGCCCCAGCTTCTCTGGGCAACAGTGATAAACACACAAGTTGGGAGGGGAAAGGGGAAAACAAAAAACATTTCCACATTTCGCTCTGCATCCGAACGGCACCAAGTGCCCCGCTACCAGCAGGTGTTTAATTCTAGCGGGAGATGGAGAGGAGGGAGATCAGGGTGTGCAGCTCTGAGTGCGGCGGGGCTGGACCCGCGCACGCTCCGGTCGCTCCGGGGGGTTTATTGTTCCACCCAAAGCTCGTTCCCCGCTCGCTCCGCTCCCCCCGCACACCCCCGGCCCCTCACGCACCTCGCAGCCCGCGCAGCTCGGCCACGGGCACCAGGCGGATGTGGGCGCTCTGCAGCACGTCCCGGTGCGGCCGGCTCTCTGCGGGGACACAGCGCGGTTAGCGGAGCGGCCCCCGGCCGGCTCTCTGCGGGGACACAGCGCGGTCAGCGGCGCGGCCCCCCCGGCCCGCCCGGCCCCGCCACCCCCCACTCACGGAGGTAGCCCAGCAGCGAGACCTCGCGCCCGTGCCGGGCCAGTGCCAGCGCGTGGTACTGCATCCGCGGGCTGCGGCCCACGTCCCCCAGCACCACCACGCACACCCGGCCCGCGCCGCCCGCCCGCCGCCGCCACAGCAGCGGCAGCAGCAGCAGCAGAGCCGCCGCAGCCGCCGCGCCCGTCACCCACAGCCACGGGCCCAGCGCCGCCATCTTGGGCACCGGCACCCGCGGGGAGGGCGGGAACGGCGCGGGGAGGGCGCCCCCTGGCGGCGCGGAGGCGCCGCGCTCTGAGGGGGCCGCGCTGGGGCGGCGGGAGCCGCGGGCGGGTTAATTACAGAGTTACAGGCAGAGGGTTAATTCATTACAGACAGGTCTAATTAATTACAGCAATACCGGACAGTCCTCCGCAACGTGGGGTTTCCCAGCAAATTTTAGATCATCCCACAGTCAGGGGTGATTTCAGCACAGCCCCATCACTATTCAAAGTGTGTGTTTTCTGTAGCTCAAATTGAGCTAAATCCTAAGGAGATCTTCACTGGATCTGAGTTACTTCCCTCAATTTTTCTCAAGCCCTGATCCTACCAGTAAAGTAGTGCCAGTACATACCAGGTACTAAATCCCTGCATCCCACAGGGTGTTCATACATGTCGGTAATATGCATTTTCCAGCTGTTTTCAGTTTGCTGATCCCTGTTTTCTGGTGGAAATACAGATCCCAAGACCGAACAGAAGCCTCCTGAGAGAAACATTTGCTCCATTATCTTGCCAAGGCCCCGTGGAAGTGACTGAACCCCATGGTGAAAAATCATTAAGTTGTGCATAAGTTTAAAACTTAGTTAGTTGTAGTGGCCATGGATCCAATACGTGTCACACAAGGCAGAGAACAAATGGTATTTGTTGATGACAAATAAGGTTAAAGACACAAATGAAGGATGCTGGTGACCAGGGACAGGACCCAGGGAATGGCTGGAGCTGTGTCAGGGCAGGGTCAGGTTGGATCTCAGGAAAAGGTTCTTCCCCCAGAGGGTGGTTGGGCACTGACCAGGCTCCCCAGGGCAGTGGGCACAGCACCAAGGCTGCCAGAGCTCAGGGAGGGTTTGGACAATACCCTCAGGGACAAGATGGGATTGTTGGGGTGTCCTGTGCAGGGCCGGGAGTTGGATTGGATGATCCCTGTGGGTCCCTTCCAGCTCAGTGTATTCCATGATTCTATGACTCCCTCTGCCTTCCCTCATGGCCACCCATCTGAATAGTATCCTGCTATTCCAGTTATGCTTCTTTGACCCCTATGACAAAACCAGCTGTTCAATGTTACATTTCTACTGTAACTCTCCCTTATTGTCAACCAGCAAGTATATGGTAACAATGAAACCACTGTTCCCTCTTAAAGCAAGAATTATTCACAAGTGTGGGCAGACTGGTTCCACAAGATAGTAAAGACTGGAATATTTGCTCGAGGATCCTGATCAGAATGCATCTTTTTCTAACTGAGAAAGCATAGGATCATAGGCTCTCCTGAGTTGGAAGGGATGCACAGGGATCATCCGGTCCAACTCCTGGCCCTGCACAGACACTCCAACAATCCCACCCCATCCCTGAGAGTGTTGACCAAACGCTCCTTGAGCTCTGGCAGGTTTGGGGCTGCGAAAAAGCCTCACTGTCCCACGCTGTCCCACATTTTAATATCATTTTAATGCAAAGTGCAAATTGCTTTTCTCTTTACTTCCTTGAATAAAGTGCAAATATTCTGTCCTGCGACAGAATGAGGGACTGGATTCCTGCACGCTGTCAGGCACAACAGCCCTGATTCCACACAGCCCTATTTCCTGGCAGGTTATCAAGCTACTTAAAATCACAAATGTATGAGCTTTCTGGATACAGTGACTGGAGTTTATGAAGGTACAGTGCAATAAAAGTCCTTTTGACCTATCTAATCTTCAGAGCACTTAGCTGGAGAAAGATAAATATTTTGAGTGCAGTCATCTCTTCTGGCTGAGGCTCTGAAAACAGGAATGCACTTATGAGAAAGACATTTTGAGAGAGAACTGATTTCTGCCTGTAAAATTTTTCCTATTTATTGAATAGCAGTTGTGTTTTTCAAAAGAATTTCCTGTCTTTTCTTCCTGAAACATTTCAGAAAGTTTTGCTGTCTACCCTAGAAATAGTCTATTTAAGCTCCATTCCCAGTCCTCCTCCACTTGATGGACTGCTGTGAGTGCAATAAACAGAGACAGAGCAGCCAAAATCCCTCTGACTGGTGGAACTTCACTCATTCCAGGAGTCTCCAACTCAAATGTCTTAAGCAAACCTCACAAAAACCTGCTGCTCCTTTGCTACTTCTACTGACACATAAAATATGTAGTACAAACCTTTTTAAAAATTGCATTTTCTGAATTTGCACTGAAAATATTAACACGGAATATCTAAGTAATAAATATTTGCACCAATCACACCTGCACTGTGAGAGTATGGACTAACAGTCCTCACAAACACAACCAGGGTTCAGAGCACAGAAGCTGTGCTGTATCATCATGAGATAAATTATTGCCATTTTTAACAGCAAGGTAATTTACTTCTTATGTTTGTTCTCCTGTTTTCTCAATTTCTAAAGTGCAACTCCTGCTACAACAGAGATGAAAGGAGCTTGTTGCAGAATAGCCTCAATTTGGAAGCAATTGTAGGTGGCCTGAAATGCTGCAGGTAGCCCAGTGCTGAGCCCACAGCCTGTTTTGGTGCTGCTGAGACTCTCCTGGGCCTTGTTCACTGCCCTGGAGATGAAAAGCCTGTGATTTTTCACAGGTAGGACTGGCCTTGGTGTTCCTCTAATGACCACTATGCTCTAAAATATGAAATTCATTTTATTCTCTTCGGTACCTGCTGGTATTAGTATCAGGTGATGGCTTTAGAGCCTGACTTAGACTAAGACCTACATTAGGTTTAGGGCTGTGTTTTCATACCAAAGCCCAGGACAGCTCAGCTCCTGAGATTCTTTCAGCCCAGTGTGGTCACAAGGTGTTTGCGCAGCAAAGTACATACTTGTACATACATACAAGTACATACTTGTACTTTAGACTCTGTATTTTGGGGAGGTGAATGTGTTTGTGCCATGCTTGAAATGGAGACTTGTTATTTTTAACAACAGGTAGTTATTTCCATCAGTGACGAAATCATGTCTCACCTCAAACAAACACTGAAATTCTGGCAATGCCACCCTTCCCTCTTTGAAAAGCTCTGCAAAAACAAGTCACTTATACTCCACTTACACTTAATATTAGTGAGGTGGAAGGGGCTGCTTTAGAGAGGAAATTAACTGCAAAGAAAATTCACTATATGGAGAGGAAAGACTATTGAGTTTTCAAATACTGCTTTGTTTTCATTCCACTTTGCAAGAAGTTTCTGTTCCCTGTGGATTCCAAAGGCAGCTTTTGGCCTGTGGGTTCTACACCCCATGTTATGATCCCGGCCTCTCTTGAAAGCTGCAGAAAAGACAGAGTGAGTTTGGGAATGGGGTGAAGCCTCCTGAACCCTTAGTTCCCTGCGAAAAGTTGAAGACCAAGCATGATCCTGAGTGAACTCCTGCAGTACTCTACTCATGCTTTACACAGAGCTGAGTTTAGACCATGGAAACCACATGTAGTCCGCCCTGGAGTTCCACGGGACAGCTTCTTTGCAGCTGGAGACACGAGCAGGACTCCTGCAGCTCTCCACAGCTGAATGAAAGTGGAGATGTAGTAACCCATTAGCTAAGATATCAATTCAGTGGCTTGTGCTATAGGAGTTTCGTGGTTAATTTGTGAAATAAAAGTACATTTTTCCACCTGCAAGGTACCTGAGACAGCAGCAAGCTTACCTGTACCAGGTACAGTTACCCTGGGAGAGCTGAGGCATTATCCCTGTTTTGGCACTAGCCATGGAAACATCAGCTTCTCCACCTGGAATACGGCCTTGGGCTTGTGGCTCCACTGCCCTGCTCCCCCAGGCACAGGGGCGATACCTGCCTTTGGAGCACAACATTTACAGAATCAAGTGCCTGAAGAAAGCTGGAGAGGGAATTCTGATGACGCGATAGAACAAGGGGGAATGGCTTCCCACTGCCAGAGGGCTGGGTTAGATGGGATATTGGGAAGAAATTCTTCCCTGTGAGGGTGGTGAGGCCCTGGCACAGGTTGCCCAGAGAAGCTGTGGCTGCCCCATCCCTGGAAGTGTCCAAGGCCAGGTTGGATGGGGCTTGGAGCAACCTGGGCTAGTGGAAGGTGTCCCTGCCCATGGCAGGAGGTGGAACAAGATGGGCTTTAAGGTTCCTTCCAACCCAAACCATTCCATGATTCTAAGATTTGCTGTTTTTAATCCAGTATTTGACTCAGACATTTACTGAAAGAGAAAAATCCCAGGTTTGTAAACCACCTCTCATTTTCATCCTAACTCTGCCAATGTGTACCACACGATCCAGCCACTGAAGTTACAGTAGGAAAACCCATATCTGCCCAAATCATCCCCTTGATGTAGTTATTTTTCCCCTCTGGAAACTAGACAGTATCCTAATCCTCTGAACGAGGACGATGGAACTGCAGTGGCTGTAAGGGCCCTATGTGCTGTGTTGTGTGTGAGACACGGGAGTGTCAGAGCTGGTGGGGACAAGGAGCTGGACCCTCGCAGTGCTGTCCCGGTCCGTGTCCCTCAGGGGTCTCTGTCCCGGACCACCTCCCTCAGGGGTCTCTCTATCCCGGACCATCTCCCTCAGGGGTCTCTGTCCCGGTCCGTGTCCCTCAGGGGTCTCTGTCCCGGTCTGTGTCCCTCGGGGTCTCTGTCCCGGTCCGTGTCCCTCAGGGGTCTCTCTATCCCGGACCATCTCCCTCAGGGATCAATGTCCCGACCCCGAACCGACCCCCGCCCGTTCCCGCCGCCCGCCAGGGGGCGCTGCCGGCGCCGCCCGCCGAGCGCCCGCCAAGATGGCGGCGTGTGGGGCAGCGGGGGCCGCGGGTGGGGGGTCCGGGCGGGCGGCGGGGCCGGCGGGGGCCGGGGTCGGCCTGGTCCCGGGCCGGGGGTCGGGCCGGGCGGGGGTCGGTGCGGTCCTGGCGCTGGCGGTGCTCGGCTGGCTGCAGGTGGCCCGCGGCGCCGGGTGAGTGTCCGGGCACCGCCTGCCCCGGGGCGGGGCCTTCCCCGGCTCCCGAGACCGGGCTGGTGGTGCGGTACTGAGCGGGACAGACCCCCCGAACCGCGGTGATC